GTAACTTGGCTTGAAGTCCTCCAATCTCGAACCCTTCAACGGCAACAGGTTTGGTTTTTTTTTCCAACCTAATGCTCTGGCTTGGAAACCTAAGACCCGAGGCCGTAAACACCTAAAGCCTTAAAACCCTCGCACCCCAAACCCCTAAACCCAAAGCCTTAATGCCCTCGCACCCTAAACCCTAAACCCCTAATGAGCACCTAAACCCTAAACCCCTAAACCCAAAGCCCCTAACACCTTAAGCCCTAAAGACAAGGAAGCCTACTACCCCTCAAACAAACCATATCGACCATGTGTAGTAATCTAGTACAGAATAGAATCAAAAGGGAGAAGGATACATAGCTGATATTAACTATGTAGTGCAATACAAACAATATCGTTCACATTAATCATGTAAACTATGTAAGACCCAGAGGGTCCAAGTGCCCGAATAGTACGGTCTTAGGTCCCAAAATCCATACTCTGAATGGTTTTTGGACCATGAAACCCTACTATTTGGGCACTTGGACCCTTAGGGAGACAATAGTCTATAACTAGTAATGAAATGTAAACATTATGGTTTACATTAATTATATGTAAACTATGTAAGACAATATAAACAAAGCAAAGCCCAAGGTGGAAGCTGGATCCTGGTCGTGCTAGGACGGCGTTGGAGAAGCTGACGCCCTCCAGGCGCAGACCGTGGAAACTTGGGGCTTTTACTAAGTTACTAGGGACCCCAAAAAAGCACATAAGCATAAGCATTTTATAGGGATATCCCCACCTTATTTGGCTTCATTGTAAGGGGGTTTATATGGGATATCCCTATCCTGATTTTTGCTTATGTGCTTTTTTGGGTCCCTATTGAGGCTTGTACCGTCATGTATAGTAAATACAGTTTGTGCTATAATACCCATAGGCCCCATAGTAGTTCCTTTTGGGGTGTTACCCTATAGAATTCTAAATAAGAACCTCATGTGGGTAGTGTTGCTCATATGACTGACAAATGATAGTATGAAATGTTCGAGAACCCATACGCATTCTACTGTAGAGACTGTCGGGTTGCTTGAATGGTTCATGACAGTTTACAGTCTAATCTCAGAATTCAGGCCCTTGCGTTCAGGTTTCGGGCTTTGGGAAGTTTGTTTTCGAAGCTTGGCTCTGTGGGGAGGAGCTGTAGTGTGTTTGCCATATGGGCCGAAATAATTACCAATACTGTTTTGGGGCTCCTTTTTGTTATTACATAAAAATGAGCCCCGCAACCCTATTCTAATTATTATGGCCCCTGTATTAGGGTTCAGGGTTCAGGGATGGTTCGAACAGGTTTCTTGGTGGTCTTTTGGTCGGGACTTCCGGTGGCCAACAGGAGTCGATATGGAGTGTCTTCTAACTTGCAGGGTGTAGGGCTTAAGGAAATTTGGGTGAGGGTCATGTGTTTATGGTCTATATGGGAGTTTCCGAAAGTTCGGGGCACTTTGTTCGTGGTCCTTACAATAAGGATCCTACTATTTAGGGTACTATATTAGGGTCCCCTATAGGGGTTCACATTGAAAACAACCTGCAAGCCGACCCCTCAATCCTCCCGTCTCTATGCATGCTTTCGCAGCAGCTCCGGTTCGACAACAAGGCCGCGAGAGGTGCCACTCGCGCAGGGAAGACCCGAAGCCTAGAAAAAGGATCTGAAGATTGTATTTTGCCGGAGGACGATATCCACCTGTTCAGAATCAGCCGGAAAGCAGACACCCGAAACCCTAAAACCCGTTAACCCCTAAACCCCTAAATTTGCCCTAAATAAACCCTATACCCCTAAACCTCTTACCCCTAACACCTAAACCCCTAAACCCCTAAACCCTACACCCCTAAACCCCTAAACCCCTAAACCCTAAACCCCCTAAACCCCTAAACCCCTAAACCCCTAACCCCTAAACCCCTAAACCCTAAACCCCCTAAACCCCCTAAACCCCTAAACCCTAAACCCTAAAGCACTAAATCCCTGAACCCCCTAAACCCTAAACCCCTTTTTTTCCCTAAACCTATATAAATCCTAGGACCCAGAGTAGGCCCTTATTCCCTTTTTTGAGGGTTCAGGTTCCCTTATAAGCCCCTTTAAACCAAAAAGGGCACCCTTTTTGTTCCTAGGTTACTCTTGGGTCTAGAATCCTAGACCGAGGCGGCGGTTCGTCATGCAGAACTTCAAGCACCTTCCCGTCAACGGGTCTTCCTCTTCCGACAAGCTGGAGGAGTGACCCAGCGGAACCCAGGCACTCACCAGTCGTCTGCAACTTACTTGAGGCTCAAACTCAAAAAATGACTCCATACTATACTAAGGTGTCATAAATTTGATAATAAACTCTGCATTTACTGGTTTTACTTATGATTTAAGCAAGGACAGCATAATTATGTTAGGCCACATGCGCGGATGTGCTCGTCTTTGAAATTCGCGGACGCTCGCTGGACAAAAGTCTACAAGATTCTACGATTGACTAAGCCCCGTGAGACCCAGAAGCCGAAGTCGAGCCGCGACCCCCAACTACCCGTTACCACGATGGGCTATTCGACCTTAAGGGTACCTTAATCTACCCTTAATAGGGTCCTAATAGGGATCTTTAGGGTCTAATAGCCCGTAGTGGTATGGTAGCCCCAAATTCCCTCTTACAGTAGAAGCCAGAAAGTTGGAATATCATTATCGTAACCCCTTTAAGGTAAATTATAGGGGATCCTACCATTAATCCATATTCCAACTTTCTGGAGTTCCCTGTAATGAGAAACATGGCTTGGGGGTTCTGGAAGAACGGAATGAGCCAAAACCTATAAACCCTCAAGAGCCGTTGGAGCACCGACTCCCAGCGATGTCACACATTTTTACAGTATCAGTAGCCCGTGTAAACAACTGTGGCAGCTGCCAGTCCTAGGCCTTGCGGTTCTTGATCATAGTAGCAGAATAGTCCCCAAAACCCGGTTCTCCCTGTATAGTGTTACCGGTACCATCCGGTTTTGGCGGGTTCGCAGGTTTACCTACAGTCACCATTGTAGTTCCTTGTTTTGGTTAACCAAGAACTTCATTATAGGATCCTAACCATAAAACTGGTTAACCAAAAAAGGAAGTACAATGGAGACTAGAGGTGGTGCGCAAGAGTAGTCAACGTGGGGGCTCCGGGGGCTGCCCCCTCCGTTTTTTCGGAGCTCAGAAGCCTCACACTGTTAGAGTTCAAGGTGACTACTTTAGGGTTCCTTTCCTCAGGGTACTGTATAATTAGGGTTCTGATAGGGTTCCTTAAAGGGATCTATAGGGGGTCAATAATGGCGATCATGGGACTTAGTAAGTAAGGTTACAAGTACTTTAAGTGTGGTTGTAAGTAGTTATAAGTATAGTTACCCTATTTGCAACCCTAGTTACTAAGTCCCATGATCAACTAAGTACTCCCAAACCTTTCTTCAATCCTGCCCGACTTCAACACGGGACATCCTCCTCACCTGCTTCGGAAGCAGAGCCCGAAACCGCACTGTGAAGATGAGTTACAAGTTGCAGTTGTGAGATTTACAGAGTATGAGCACGGCGTGTCATGGAATATCCCGAATCTAGACTCTTTACACTCGTGCTGAGCCTTGCCTGCGACCTGATCCTCTGACATTTTCTTCCAGGTACATCGGGCACTGCGAGCAGACTGGCTCTTGGTGATTCTCGCCACGTTTTCTAGCGGCTGGTCTCCCGCAGGGTTTATGCAGGGGTTACGTGGTATCTGGCTCTGGTACCCTAAACCCAAGCCCCAAAAAATAAACCCAGAGTCCAGAAGCCCTAAACCCGAAAAGACGAACTTAACCCAGTGTGTTTCAGGTGCAGCAGCTGGATTTGTTGAGCTTGGGCTTTCAGCTTATTGGCTGTAAACTCAACTTTTCAACGTTTGGACCTCTTATGAGGTATACTCGATTCTGAAAGTTTCAACTTCTTTTTCCTTGAGTTTTGGGCCAGTGAGTCAAGTTCAGGGATCGAAGTCCACCTTTGGCCGCTTAGGGGCTTTTGAAGAGATATGGGACTTTCCGAAAACTAGCGGTACCTTATTTTTGGGCGGTCCTAATAATGAGGATCCTACTATCTAGGATACTATACTAGGGTCCCCTATTTTCGGAAACTCCCATATGTGAGGATGCCCTGTCGTGATGAGCTCCATGTGCGTACCCGTGGCAGGTCTGGGGAGGTCTACCCTGATAAGCAGCGGGCTTCGAAGACTCAAGAGTTTGGCCAGGAATCCCAAGCACAAAATGGGTTTAGGGTTTAGGGTTTAGGGGTTTAGGGTTTAGGGTTTAGGGAAATCTACCTTAACTCCGATTCTAAACCTAGTTCGAGTCCACAGAATTGTGGAACTTTCTGCCGTTTCTCAAGCTTCGGTCGCCACAGAGGAGGATATGAGGATAGGGACCCTAAGCCCCGAACCCTTGAACCCAAAAGGGAAGCTGCTGGTTCTCAGGCCAGCCACGAATAGTTGCGAACTGTTATTGATTTAGGTGTTAAGCGTTTAGGGTTGAGAGGGTTTGCGCAGGAGGCAACACGTACAGCTGGGACTTTGCCGAAGAGACCCGTTGCGAGAAAGCGCCTTGTATGACTGTGACGAGTACATTTACATACCCTCTCCATCACTAGTAACTTGATGTTGCATCACGGAACAAACCCCCCAGGCAAAATTTTGCCTTCGCGAATCTCCGAGGAAGAACTAGCTGGTAATGTTCCCCCCTCATAGTCATAATCCTTATAGGACTGTAGTAATTAGAATAAATGCCGAAACCCTATTCCAATTCTCAGCGCCCAACACTGTCAGGGACACCCAGCACGTAAGCATGCGAAGACTCCTCTCAACACAGTAAGGACACGGAACCCAGCCCCTAGCCGGCGGAAGCTTGATTATTGTGTCCTCGATAATTATAGCATAGGGACAATATACGAGGATACTATAACGAACTGTTCCGGCCCCCAAAATATAACAGGCCGTAACAGGCCGTAAAGCCTAAACCCAACCGTGCAAGCCATGAGCCGTCCCTTGCGTTTCCCGGCTTTGCTGGCGCTCTTCGGCCACGTGGCCTCCGCGTATTCGACGGTGGCTGGGCAGATTTTTCGGGGAGCTCTCCTACTTGAGGGTCTCTTCAAAGGCCGCGGCTACTTTGAGGGGTGGGGTTCCTTTCAAGGGTCTGTTATCTGTTGTGTGCATCGGATCCTGAATATGTGGTTCTGTGAAATCTTCCCGTGAGTTCCAGCTTTACCTATAGTCTGCGTTGTAGTTCCTTGTGGGGTTTACCATTTAGGATCCTGAATTCAATATTGCCTAGGCCAGGAAAGGATTTCTGTAGTAGAATTCCTCTTATGGTTTAGGAAGTATCCCCCATCACAGTACCTACCCTTTGGGTGAGGTAGCTTCGGTAACTTCACGGCTGAGCTCAGTGTGGCTTCAACTTCGACTCCTGCTTCTCTTTTCGGGTTCCATGTCGAACACTACCAAGAGGGTCCCTAAACATTCCTATTATGGAATTATAATCCCAAAACCATAGTAGGGATGGTTTTTTGGGACCTAACTCCATAGTGGTAGTGTATATGGACCCTCTGGGCTATATATCCTGTAGAACAGATCTGCAGCGCCGTGCATCGTAAAGAACAGGTTCCGAGAGGAGTTGAAGCAGGTTCCCTAGTAAGCCCCTAAACCTCTAAACCTCTAAAACCTAAACCCTATCCCCTAAAACACGCCGAGGTGATGTGCACTACACCGGTGTGTCCGAAGGACTGCACGCTCTGGTCTTTGGGACTTTTGTTGTGCCTCTACAGTGCTTCAGGGGAGGAAAGACCTAAAAATCCATAGTGTAGTTGCCTTAATAATTAGACTAGGGTTTTGGGGGCTCCTTGCTAAAATCATAGTATACTATGCCCCCCCGAAGCCCTAAAAAGCCCATAAACTCCAAACCCACCCCGCCTCATGGCTCAAGGGCTTGGCGGTGCTTTGGCTCTGCAGGTTTTTGGGATCGTCATTTAAATTGTAGAGCGTGCGACTGCCCAGGCAGAGTGGCTTCCCTAAACCGAGCCCCCGCGATGTCTAAGTGACAGAGGCTTAGGGCGTAGTAGTGACGTTTGATGGTAGGGAGTCGAGGCTTATACTCCCTCTGAACAGCCTGAAGTCGCGACTGGGGCCAGGAGAAAGTTGCCGCCGAGTTCCCGAATGCTTCGTCAGGTTTGCTTTCATCCACAGACATGGACCCATTGCAGCTGCCATCAGCAGCAGCGATCACAACAACAACTCTACCTAGTACCTCTAGTCTCCATTGTAGTTCCTTTTCTTGGTAAACCAGTTCTATGGTTAGGATCCTACAATAAAGTTTTTGGTTAACCAAAAAAAGGAACTACAATGGAGACTGTAGGTAAGATTCAAGCCGCCACAGCAACAGCCAGCAACATCGACAGAAGCTGCAGCTTGCTGCACCGCCACCACCAGCAACAACCGCGGCACAAAGGATTGAGACAAAGACCGCCACGCTACACCCGCGAACGACAACTGAAGCTAATTCCCCGGGACCAGTATCATGATCCTGGAGCTTTTGAGGTTCAAAATTCGACCCTACATCTCTGCGTCGTCTAAGCCCAACCCAAAGGGCCCACGTATCATTATGGTATATACTTATAGGTTATTTTGGGGGGTCAAAAGTATATACCATAATGATACTTGGACCCTTTGGGCAATGCGCGTTCGCAGAAGGACCTGCGACCCGTGAGGCGGACTGGGGCCCCAAAGATCTGGGCCTACGGCTGCGACGTCGCACAAGGATCGGCTTTGAGTTTGGGGTTTAGGATAGTTCAGGGTGTATATATATATATATATATATATATAATTTAGATATAGATATAGATATAGGGTGAAGGGGGGTCGACGGATTAGGGTATCGGGTATAGGGGCCGGGGCATCCAGAGATTGGCTTACACATTTTTTAGGGCCTTGGGGTTGGAATTTGAGGTCTAGGGTTCAAGCTTTGGGTTTTAGGCCCACGGGCTCTTCAATGGAGCATTTATGGTCCCTGATGCTGGGCTTTTCGGGTATATTAGAGGGTAGTCGGGGGGTCTAGGTAGATTCAGATCTTTGGACCTGCAGCCACAGACCTGAACTTATATGGGTAGTTGTCAAACCTTAGGGTCCCGGTTTAGGTACCCTAAATATTAGGTGCCGTATTATACTAAGGACCTAAAAAGGGACCTTACTTTTGACAACCACCCATATAGCCGAAGCGCTTGAGACCCAAAGTGCTGAACGGTAAATGCTCAGCCGAGAGGCAGGGTTTCGGTTTAGGGTTTAGGGTTTAAGTTTAGCTAGCTGGGGTTTCAGTTTAGAGTGCATCGAGGTTCTAGTTTGTAGAATGTCCAAGGACATTTCAGGGGTATTGTGAAAAAGGGGTTGTTCTTTAAAGGATCTTGGTTTGGGGCCGAGGGTTTACACAGTCCCGGGGCTTTCGGGTGGTATGGGCTGTGACGCCTGGGTCTGCAGACAATTGTCAGCCTTTTTGTTTCAACCTTGTGGGATCTTGAAGCCTAACGCTCTAAATAGATATGGGAGTTTCCAGAAATTAGGGGTACCTTACTTTCAGGTCCTTATGATAATGATCCTACTATTTAGGGTACTTTATTAAGGCCCCCCCATTGTCGGAAACTCCCATATCCTTGTCTTGGGAACAGCCGGTAAGCAGGCAATGGGACGTTGAATCGCTGCTGCATCGAGAAGGACCGACAGGTCTTTGCAAACGGGGCTCTTTTCAGAGTGCCGTCCTTTTTACAAATGCTGCCTCCACTTGCTCATTCCAGCCTGTACCTTAACATGTCGAGTCTTATGTAGGAGCTTAAATATATCTAGTTTTGGAATATTATCGTAAGATATACCCATAACAAACCTTCATTCTAATTATACAGGCCCTTCATTATAGCCGGTGTGGTCCCAGAGACGTCAGGTCCGGTAATCAGCAGGTGCGGTCATGGGCCTTTTGTTGCAGAAGTCTGCCAATGGCATTCATTGCTAAAGTGCAGCAGCCGAAGCCGTACCCAAAAGAGGAGCCTTACGCAGACTAGAGGCTCGCATGATGCGACCATCTGTTTCCGACCGCTTAGCAAAAGTGTTCTGGCTTATGAGGAAAGCTGGGGAATAGCAGGGTTCACACGAAATCGCAGCACAGCCGCTGCAAGCATCCGCAAGCCTTCGCGCGAGATTCGCAGGCGTCCGCGAATGCGGCGAGCTATCGCAGAACTCCTTAAGAGACATGTTCATGAGTTCATGATTGTCCTTGATGCCGGCAAGCTAGAGGGGAATTCCAAGGGAGGGTGTCCAGGAAGGTCGAACAAGCCGGCTGGCCTCGGGGTTGGGTGAGTGTGTGTTCCACCTCTCTCTCTCCCTCTCTCTCTCCCCCTCCCTCCCTCTTTCTCATATATGTATTAAGGCATGGTTAAACAGGTAAACGTACGAATCATGGGTTACTCTGTCTGTAAGGTCTGAGAATCCCTCAGCTCCGACCGGGGGGGGCTCTTTAGTTGATCCCAAGGCTTAGCCATCAGGCCGATGTTTTCAAATCTGGGCCAATGTTGCTCTGTGTTTAGGCATCTTGTTCGACCGTTTAGGGTGCAGGGCATAGGGACGGAGCTTACGGTTTAGGGTGCAGATTTGATGCTGAGCCAGGTTAACTTTAGTGGCATGTAGCGGGATTCTTCTGAGAATGCTGGAGAGGTCGAGCTCAGGGACCACTGATGAGACAGCATGGCCCTGAACCGTACAGTGGTTTCCGTAATTAAACCTGCAGTATCTATTTTGTCGAACCACACACTTCTGCCCTGACAGTTCTGGCTTGTAAAGGGACCCTTGTGGGCAGGAAATTTGCATGCGCAGCTGTGGAATGCCTTGGAAGAAGTGCAAGCAGCACTTCGAGCGCTGCAGCATGTTCGCAACATTGCGGCGGGGTTCGTTGGGGATTGGGATTGGGCCCTAAACCCTAAACCCTAAACCCTAAACCCTAAACCCTTAAACCCTAAACCCTTAAACCCTAAACCCTAAACCCTAAACCGTGTTCCGTGGTCCGTGGTCCGATCCGCTTGGAGGCTTCCAGGGTGTGGGTTCGTTCCTGAAGTAGAGCGGGGATCTCACTCCTGCACTCTGCAGCCCTTATTGTTTCCATGCCCTGAGCCACAAGCCCGGCACACCCACCCTGAAAGTTCGAGTTTTCGGGTTTAGAGATTAGAGGTTTTAGACTTAAGGCTTTAGGGCTTTAAGGTTTAGGGGGTTTAGGGTTTCGGCTTAACCCTTAAATCCCAAAGCCCGGGACCCTGAAATGCTATGCTCTCGCTGGAGGTGCAGAGAAAGCTTGTGATATGGACGAGGAGTGCGCGACACTGGCAGAAGAGGCCTAGTGGCAGCAGTTCACCTGGGTTTAGGGCCTTAGGGTTTAGGGCCTTAGGGTTCAGGGTTTAGGGTTTAGGATTTAGGGTTTAGGGTTTAGGGTTTAGGGTTTAGGGCCTTAGGGTGCAGGGTTTAGGGTTTAGGGTTTATAGGGTTTAGGGTTTAGGGTTTATAGGGTTTAGGGTTTAGGATTTAGGGTTTAGGGTTTAGGGTTCAGCTCACTTGCATCTGAGATGGAGCCAGATTGCTAGAGCCTGAAGCCTGAAGCTTACAGAGCTACAAGACATGCGCTTCCGTCACGCATGAAATCTTAAAAGGTACTGGTATACCTCAACTCAATACTACTAGTATACCTCAATACCCTATTCTAGCGATGAAGGCCCCCACAGTAAACCCGGATCAGGCCGCAGCTTTTGTCCATGCAGTAGCGCTCCCTAAGGCTCCATGTACCCATATAGTATATACTTAGGCCTTAAAGTACCTATATAGGGACCCCTTAAGGCTTAAGTATCTACTGTAAAGGTACATGGAGCCTTTCGGGCTCTGTGGGTGCAGGCTGATGTCCTCGTCACCGGCGGGGAGTCGCACTTCACTGACTTGCCCTCAGTGCGGTCTAGGGTTAAGCTGAGACCTCGAAGCTTGCAACCAGGTAGGTTTTGACGCAGGGCTTCGGGGATACCTTGTTAGAGCCCTGCTAGTGAGAGCAGATCCAACTTCATCTGTAAACCCATTGTGCGGATGGCCCAGGGTTCTCCGACCACGTGCTGAGTGCGAAATGTCTACAAAAGTAGTCGCGTGTTCCACCACGCAACCCTGAATCCTGAATCCTAAAACCCTAAGCACGCCAATGAAGATACTTATGTGCCCCGAGGTCTGCAAAGCCTACCGCGACGCTTTGCGTCTTCTCTGCGATTGCGTGCCGGTCAAAGAAGCGAAGGAAGGTGCCAGCGGCTTTTGCATTTTAGGCTTCATGGTTTAGGCCTTCAGGGTTGAAAACCCTAGCTACCGTGAATCCACATATGTGTTGCTTTCAGAGCTTGCGTGAGGAATTCATAACAGTTAGCCCTAACAAGGCAGGTGCGTAGAGGGTTCAGATACACATGTTCATCCCTCAGTTTGAGTCTTGTTATGTTGGCGCTGAAAAGTGCGTGGTCCGCCTGTAGTCGCCATTGTATTTCCTTTTTTTGATTAACTTATGGTTTAGATCCTATACCATAAATTAACCTAAGAAAGGAATTACAAAGGAGACTGTAGGTAGGTTAGTTTCGGGCGGCTTGCCGTGCTGTCTCAGAGGTTATGGTTTTGGAAGTGTCGGATCTCGGAGCCCTCTTCAGGCTGTTGAGTTTGCGGTTCCGTTTAGGGTTCAGTTGTTGATGGTTTTGCAAATCTTCTCTTTAGCTGAGGCTCGCTTCTCCCACTCTGGGATTCGGGGTTGAGGGCCTGAGCCAATACAGTTTCTTGCGACGATGAGTCGGTTCCACTTTGTGAGGAGGCCTTTTGTCAAGGGTCTTGTTATCTTATAGAGCTTGTGTTGTTTGGTTTCGTCGTTTGGAAATTCGCATTAGGCCAGCTGAGGACTCTGAAGAAGGAAGCTTGTCTGGGACTACCTGAAGAGAGTTTCTTGTGGCGTTTGATTCATGAAGAAGTAGCAGTTCTGCACACCCTGCCCCCACGTTCCGTGAAGCAGGGATTCGATGCCAGGAAGTACGTTAAGCGGTGTAGCATCATCGCACCCAAATCGGAGCTCGCAGCCGGCAGTCCCCGCACGAGGTACGGAGGAGCGCCTCACGTCTTTCTATGCGGAATACCGGCCGGAGAGGCGCGGGAGTTTGGTAGCGCTTTGCTTGCCGAACTCTGTGTGATGCTACTTGAAGGATCATGGGACTGAGTAACTAGGGTTATAATTAGGGTAACTATACTTATAATTGCTTCTGATCCTCCAAGTAGTGTCCAAGCAACAACGGCATAAGTACTGCTAGTCCTGCTCAATATGTTTGTTGCCGTATCCGTGTCTGTTACTTCGTCGTGTTCCATGCGCGATTCGTTGTAGTGTTTTCTATACTGTAGCAAGATGCGCGTTTTACGTCGAGACGTCGGATCCTAACCATAAAGTTGGTTACCCCAAAAAGGAGCTACAATGGAGACTATAGGTACTACCCTAAACCCACATGCCTGTTCTTTGAGGTCCTTTCGACCCAGACAGGCGGCTACAGTCCAAGACGATCGGCCTGAGATCAACCCTAAACCCTACCTTAACCCGGAATAAGGAAATCTTAATCAGGAACCTTAGGAGGTAGGCTATTCGGGGTTAAGGTAAACCCTAGCTTGGCTTCGAAGCCAAGGCGGCTCCGAGTTTACCTGGACCCTATGAAATTGTCCGTCTTCTCAGGCTTCCTTATCATGATTCTGTTTGTGTAGGGTTTAGGGTTTAGGGTGTAAGTTCTTAAAAGCAAGTAGATTATTTGGGTTTCAGGTCGCGTTTAGTGATCTCTGTGCTCAAGTCTTTCAGGCTGGACGAGGAAGGCAAAGTCAAGGACATCAAGGAGCTGTTGCTTTGAGAGTACTTAAAGGATCATGGGACTTAGTATATAGGGTTGTAATTAGGGTAACTATACTTATAACTACTTATAACCCCAATTAAGGTACTTATAACCTTACTTACTAAGTCCCATGATTCTCCAACTATAAGGGGTTTCTGGGGTTCTGGGGGGTTTAGATTTCCGAGTCTGGTATGCATTCTGAAGCCTTCATGTTCAACCGTTGAATGGTTTTAGGGTGGTGACTTATGGGTGCGGTTGAGGGCTCGCGAACTTGAACAGACAGGTTAAACGAAGCATTGAAGGGTTGGGACCCCCATACCCTGAAGGGTGTCCGGAAAGTAATTTTGATATACACCCTAAACCGAAACCCGAATCACCAAGCCCACACCCGAAAAAGGGCTGGATGTTCTGTTTGATCCGCTTGAAAGGCGAAAACTTTAACTCACAAACCCGAAACCCGAAATACTTAATCCCTAAACCCAGCCCTCCACCACAACAACAACAATAACAAAGCACCAGAGGTTCTTCAAACGCATAGAGGGAGCGCAGCGAGCAAAACGTGACAAGCATGGTGCAGGGTTTAAATCACAAAGGACCTTGAACCCCAAAAACTACCCCAGCACCCCCCCCCCCCAGAAGACAGACAACAAGCAAAACACACACACGCAGCAGGCTTGGACCCTAAAACCCTTTACTCTATACACCCCTTCAGAAAATCAGCAAAATATAGAGAGGAGGTTTGGAAGAAGTGGCAGAATCGCGAGCCGGAGCTCTTCTTCGAGCTCGCAAAGAAGTACGCTGCCGATGTTGCCCTTGGGACTGAAACTGGTGAGCTCTGAAAGCTTCGCCTATGAAAGTCTTTTTTAAGAAGGTGTGTTTAAGCTGTAAGCCTAAAGTTTAGGGTTACAGGGTATGAACGGCTTTGTGGTATATAACGGAGCTTATAACCATAGGGATAAGCGGGGTGGAATGTGGGGATTTATTCGCTTGTTAGGGTTGTCAATCTAGTGTGCCGTAGCGGGACCGCGCAAGCGCCCATTGAAGGCTCTTGTTTTCATTTTTTAAACGTAGCCAAAGATGGAGTTGCTGGGTCTAGGCCATGCCGAAGGCGGCTGATCCTTTTGCGCAAGCAGGAATATTTGGGGAGTCCTGTTCAGGGAGGAATGCCAAGCTCCGAGGTTACAGGCTGAAGGTTCAGATGATATGTAAGTCCTATTGAGGGTTCTAGAAGAGTGTGGATGTAGGCACATGTGCTAGAGTCTTGTGTTTCCTGCGTTGTGAGGCGAGTTCTGATTCTTCTCAATTTTTTTGCGAGATGGACTTGCCCGGAAGGAGCCTTCCAGACTCAGACTGCAAGACTCAGAAGGGTGCCACCATGGAAGCCACGGGACAAAGACACAAAAACCCGAATCCCTTTCTCCGGAAGGGCTCAAAAAGGCGCCGGTAGAGGAGGTCTGAATGCCTGGCGGTAATTTCTGCTCAAAGTTTCCTATAACATCCTATTTACTAACGGCCAGCCCTGAAACCCCGAAGGCCCGCAAAGCTCTAGTAGCTGAGTAGGTAACCTTTAACCTTTTGGGGGTTAGACCATCCTACCATACTGGACAACGTTAGCCTTTCTTGGGCTAGGGTACTCCGCCCCAAAACCCTAAACCCTTAAACCCTAAACCGCAAACCCTAAACCTTGCTTGGGCTAGGGTACTCAGCCCCTAAGAAGCTCTGGTCGCCCTGAAGGTGGAGCTGCGGAATCGATCCGAGGGCGAGCTTGAAAGGCTCGGCAACACAGATGGGTTTGGTAGCCCAGTAGCGGGTTTATGGTATAGGGATTTAGGGTTTGTAGGGTTTGTGGTTTAGGGTTTAGGGTTTCAGGTTTAGAGTTTAGGGTTTAGGGTCTACAGGGTTGTATAAGCAGTTTATTGGTCAATATAGGGCTGATAAGGAGTGGACACAGGGCATTTACGGTTCTCTTAGGGGTTAACAGGCGTTTCATTGCTTTCTGTTGCTGTCCCCCTATCTACAGGTTGAGGTTGTGGTCCTATTGCACCGTCTTTAGGGTGTTAGTGTTCAGGGCTTCCAGTGTCTTGGTACCTGGACTTGATATGCGTTTGTGTTTTTCTGCGGTTTTCACAAGGCCGGATCCATCATCGTCGGAAGCAGTAGGCTTCGGTGTAGCCCGGCCTCTTACACCCTGAAGTTTGAAGGCGGTGATGATTGAATATTAGTAAGAGACCTCCGATGAGTAAGCTGAACCCTAGACGCGAAACGCCCATAAAACCTAACTCCTTAAGCCTACCCGACGTAAACCCCTGTATAAACTAAAACCCCATAAACCCAACACCAGAACTACCCTTAGCCTTAAACTCCCTTATCAGCCCAACATACCTAAGCCCCAATATGGCCAAAGACCTGAGAACCCGGAGCCCATCTATAAACCCCCTTAAACCTTAAGACCCTAAAGCCCCAAACCCCTCAACCTCCCCCCCTCTGCCCTAGACCCTGCTTGGAGGATCATGGGACTTAGTAAGTAAGGTTAGAACTACCCTAATTGGGGTTATAAATAGTTATAAGTATAGTTACCCTTTTGATAACCCTAGTTACTAAGTCCCATGATCCTTTAAGTAGTACCCTTTATCTTTCGTAGAACCCATTAAGGATCCCTTTAGAGGGAACCCATTGATCCTTTAACCGTAAACCCTAAGCCCTAAACCCTAAACCCTACACCCCTAAACCCTAAACCCCTAAACCCTAAGCCCTAAACCCTAAACCCTAAGCCCTAAACCCTAAACCCTAAGCCCTATAAACCCTAAACCGCCTAAACCCGAAACCCCAAAACCCGAAGGCTCACCCGCAGTGGCAGCCAAGGGCCCAAAGAGGCCTCGGAAGCCCAACTGGAGGCGAAACTCCGTTTCCAGGCCGGCGAGCTTTATAGGGTTTTTAGGGTTTGGGATATAGGGTTTTATAGGGTTTATAGGCGTTTTGGGCTTTTAGGTTTTGGGATATAGGGTTTATAGGGTTTAACGGCATTTAGGGCTTAAAGGGCTTGGGTTTATAGGGTTTATAGGCGTTTAGGGCTTATAGGGTTTGGGATATAGGGCTTATAGGGTTTATAGGCATTTTGGGCTTTTAGGGTTTGGGATATAGGGTTTATAGGCATTTAGGGCAATTTAGGGCTTATAGGGTTTGGGATATAGGGTTTTTAGGGTTTAGGGTTTATAGGGCTAAGGGCTCATAGGGCTTATAGCTAGGATGCCCAGTGGTGCCCTTACTGCCTTTTTGTAGTCCTAGGTTCCTTATAAAGCTACCCAATACCAAAAAGGTAGCCCCTTTTATTCCTAGGTTACTGAGCTTTGAGAGGGTTTAGGGTATAGGTTTAAGGGTTTAGGGTTGAGGGGCACTGCAAGGCTTAAGCAAAGAAGGTATAGGGTTGTCACCGGATCGAAGGTTCGTAGGACTTTGCAGGAGTTTGGGGTTCAGGTTTTCGGGGTTTTGCAGGGGGCATCAGGGGTTTGAGAGTTTGCAGGGTTTGTGCTGTATGCCTAAACCCGAAACCCGAAACCCGAAACCCTAAACCCTAAACCCGAAACCCTAAAACCAAAGAGCTGACACCAACATGCGTTCAACAAAGATGAAGCTGACGCCCTAAACCCGAGACTCGTAGACCCCACAACCTAGACAAACAAAATTCCATTTTTCTGTGGAGTATCCATATAATACACTCGGGGTGTGTGAAAGGAACCTCTGGACAAGTAGGTTCTGGCAGTTTACGGTGCGTCTTCTAGGGGAACAAACTCAGGCGGAAGCGGAGCAGCTCCGGGATGAAGCTCTAAGGCAGCGTCCGGACCTGAGCAGCCCTTCATTTAGGGACCCCAAAAAGCACATGATATCCCTACCTTATCATAGGGGGATTTATATGGGATATCCCTATCCTAATTTATTTATATGGGATATCCCTATCCTAATTTTTGCTTATGTGCATTTTGGGGGCCCTACTAATCTCCAAAAAAATGCAAGGGCGTTTGGGATACCTTGGGTTCAGAGTAGTTCTCTAAACTAGGGCCACTTGTAGGGTTTAGGGTTTAGGGGATTAGGGTTGTAGGGTTCTTCTTCCGTCATGGCACTTTAGGGACTGATGGCTTGTTAGGGGCTTTCAGGGCTTCGAGAGGAGAGAAGTCTGAGCTTCGTACATGGCTCTGCCGCGCTTGAAGACACCAGTGTGTCGTGGCTTTCAGGGGCTGCTGTGTTTAGGGTTTGGGGTGTCGTATTTACCAGGGTGCGGGTGCTTTGCTTTCAGATCCTTGCCCCTGTAGAAAGCTCTCCATAACCCTGAACCCCTAAACCTTAAACCTGGACATCTCCATCCCTGAAGATTGCATCCGCAAAGGGCTTTTGCTCAGGGCAGTTTAGGGTTCTAGAGGTCGGGCTTCAGGGCATGCCAGGTGTCTCAGACATGTCGGGCCATAACTTGATCTCTTGTGACATGGTCATCCCATGGGGGTGTATAGGGCCTCGGGCTTATAGGGCTTTGGGTATATCTTGATGAAAAGCTTATAGGGCTTGAGCTATTTGAAGGCTCTGTCATGAGTGCATCTTCTGTTACATACAGGGTTTAAGATTTGGGGACTATGCCCCGAACTGCAAGCGCTGACTCTGCTTGCGGGACACAAGACAATCACTCACAGCCGGTAGGAACTATAGTACTCTGAATTGAGGACTTCAGGTGCCAGAGACTATCCATTCTTTGGTTTAGTTTAGTGTTTTTTGGTTTCGGGGTTTCAGGTTTGTAGGAATCCACGTATACGGACATTCCGGAACTCATCATGCGATCAAAAGTTTGGTGGCTTCCTGTTATGGCCATCTTCAAGTAATAACCATTATTTATCCTCATTCTTCTTACTTGATCAGTTATCATTAATGTAAGTATCTTTGTTATCCTCGAACATCCTTCTTTTTGTAATCAGAAGTTTGAATACAACCCTGAACCCTAGAACCTGAGCCCTAAACCCTGAACCCTGAACCCTATAACCCTGAACCTTGACTAAACCCTCAACTCTGAACCCTATAACCCTAAACCCTCAACCTTGAACCCAAACCCTAAACCCTACTCCAGGTCTCTTCGAAGAGGAAGCCCTCGCGGAGCAAGAGCTGGCGAGGCAGCGCGCAGAGCAGGACAGAGCTCTCAGAGTTTACTTGGGGATTAAGGTGTAGAGTTTACTTTTGGGTTTAAGGTGTATAGAGTTTACTCTAGTGTTTAAGGAGTGGGGTTTACTTTTGGGTTTAAGGTGTAGAGTTTACTTTTGGTTTAAGATGTAGAGTTTACTTTTGGGTTTAGGGTGTAGAGTTTACTTTGGGTTTATGATGTAGAGTTTACTTTTGCATTTAGGGTGTAGAGTATACTTTGGTTTAGGGTGTAGAGTTTACTTTTGTGTTTAGGGTGTAGAGCATACTGTACGTTTGGTTTAGGGTGTAGAGTTTACGTTTGGGTTTGGGGTGTGGAGTTTAGTTTTGCGTTTAGGGTTTACTTTTGGGTTCAGGGCGTAGGGTTTACTTCGGGGGTGGGCTGGTTTAGGGTTTACAGTCCACTTTTGGGGTTCAGGGTTTAGGGTTTACTTTGGGACGTTTAAGGTCTCATGTCTAATTTGGGATTTCGGGTTTAGAGTTTAGAGTGTACTTTTGGGGTTCAGGGTTTAGGGTCCAGAGTTTACTTTGGGATTTCGGGTTCAGGGTTTAAAGTTTACTTTTGGGATTTAGGGTTTAGGGTGTAGAGTCTGCTTTGGCATTTAGGGTTTAGTGAATTTAGGGTTTAGGGCTTGTGCAGCATTCAAAGTCATGCGAATCCTGACATGTGCGGACATCCTATAACAAAGCAACTCTTTCTGGCCCAGCAGGCCACGCCCGCATGCCTGTTGCTAAAAAAATGCCTCAGACCAAGGGTCATGGAGGCCCTCGGACCAGCACGGTAGAATGAACTCACGATCCGATCTGCAGAAGAGGCACCCAAGCCAAGTCAAGTAATTTGTATTTGCAATGGCTGTGTATGTACATATGCTATAGAAACATCACGGACATGGTGTATGTAAACCACACAGCTCTACATGGTGCAATGCAGTTTATGCAAGCAGCTGCGTGAGCTATCATACATTTCTGATATGTGTATGCAAATGTATCCGTACACATGAATGTGTAAGCTGGACAGTTCCAGGACTATGCACAGGGTTTTGTGCACCCACAGCCCAAGTTACACAGACACCAGCTATGCTCTTGGAAGGGCATGAGCCAGGAGCCATTAAGCTCGAGAATCTGCTAGATCAGACTGTCATCACAGATCCTGGCAACCTTTAACACCAAGTCATGGGTTTAAGACCTACGGTTAAGGGGTTTCGAGTGTGGGACCTTAAGCTTGAAGAGCTGCAGCCGATACTCGATAAGCCCTAAACCTAAAACCGCATAAAACCTACAGCCTTGACTCCAAACCCAAGGCCCTAGCCTCAACCTGCGGTGTCGGACTCGCAGGACGGTAACCCCTATATTATCCCTAAAAGGAATATATTTTATACTTTTTGGGGGTTCTTAAGCAAATAGTAGATGGTGTTTTGGCATAGTTTTAAGGTTTGGGGTCCAGGGTTGCGGTCACAAAGGCGCTCGTTACCTTTTAGGTTCGGGGTTCAGGGTTGAAGGTTTAGTCTAGCTATAATTTTTTATTTTTTGGGGGTTCTTAAGCAAATAGTAGCCATGGTCGCTAAGGTGCGCGTTAGCATAAACCTTAAGCAGGAGAGAGCGGCTCGCCGCGCGATCTTGGAGGAGGCCAAGGCCTGCGATTGCTTTCAACGGTACTAGCCATCCAGAGGGTCCATATGGGTCTCTTTTCAAAATTATGATTCCCTTTTGGGTCCTTAATATTGCTACGGCACCTAATATTCAGGGTACCCCAAAAAGGGACCATAATGTTGACAACCACCCATATATGTATGCGGTTTGGGGGCACTTGCGACTGAGGGTTGAGGGTCTTGATGCTTTCCAAGAGTGTTTATGTATACCACCGTTATGGAATAAGGTCCCTAAGAACTAAGGACGGTGATATGTTGATGTTGCTGTGATTATCCTTCCTGCTACTAGCGATCAGTCAGTTCAAGATCCAACTTGGCCACTCGGATAATTCACGATACTGCCTTTCGTGGAAAGGGGCAGGGGCCAAAACCCGAACTTGTGAGACAAACTGGACCCCCCAAACCCTAAACCCTAAAACCCTAGACCCTAAACCGCGGAGTTCCACTCAATGGGAGATCCCAGTTTCAGACCCAGCCCAGCGGTCGCAGGATCCGTAAAGATAAGGACCTGAGTAAAACGACATAAACTCCTAAAAGCAAGGGGGCCCCTACTGTTATCTTGCACTTCTGGTCCATGAAGACTGGGTTCTTGTTAAGGGGGTTCAATGTAAGTTACCATACTAGAGAAGCCATATTACAAACTGTAGACCCCTGTTATGGTAACTTAAATTAATCCTAAGGGTCCAAGTAGCCAGTTATCTTGCACTCTCAAAAAAAGTAACCTACACAACCACTATCCCAAACCCGAGTACCAAATTCATGGGCCCTTTGGACACTTAGGGTGAGCTCCGAAACAGGAAACCCTAAACCCTAAACCCTGAGCTCCAAAACAAGAACCCCGAACCCTAAACCCAAAGCCCTTAGGGCAGGCTCCAAACCAAGAATCCCGAACCCTAAAGCCTAAACCCTCAGGGTAGGCTCCAAAACAGGAACCCCGAACCCTAAACCCCAAACCCTAAACGCAAGCTCCGAAACAAGAACCCCGAAGATGAAGCCCTAAAGTGCAGACATGTCTAGCCCGTAGGAGCGTAGAGCTGTCCTGCAGGGTCCAAAGTGCCCAAGAGGTTAGGTACTTGGTTTCATGTGGGTAGGGTTTAGGGTTTAGGATTTCGGACATAGGGTTTAGGGATGTTTAGGGATTAGGGCTTAGGGTTGGGGTTTGGCCTTGTTTCAGGGTTTGGTTGACCAGGATAGTTCACTTCATTACTTTTTGCATTTCTGGTGACAGGGTTTTAATTAATCTATGTATGTATACACACTTATTTACTTGACTATGAGAAAGGCTAAACTTCAGTTCTGCCTAAAACACCCGAAAATCTTACACCCGATGACCATGAATCCGATCCAGAGGCCCAACAACCTCAGCGCAAAACCCTAAACCCTATACACCCTAAACCCCTTCACCCCTAAATAACCCTAATCCATGAATCCTCAACTCTCCAGTCCTAAAGCTTAAAACCCTATAACCCTAAACCAGAAACCTTAAACCCTAAAGTCCCAAGGCCCTACTTGCAGGTTCATGGGTAGTTATAAGTAGGGTTATAAGCCCGCTAATATCAGTTATAAGTATAGTTATCCTACTTATAACCCGCTTATGACTACCCATGAACCTCCGAGTAAGGAGAAAACTGAAAGCAACAACCCGTCCCCAGGCTGCAGCCGTGGCTGCCGAGGATTATCTCCAAGCCAAGGATCTTCAACGCCAACTAGAACGACTGAGCCAGGAGCTGTGAGGAGTCGAAAAGGAAGCGACATGTAGGGGTCATAGTATCGATCAGCATACACTTTCCAGAAGAAGCTACGATCCACGAATCAGACACTTGGGTTTAGGACAGCAGTGGTTGTAGGCTGGTTTAGAGGAGAGTAATTACAGCATGGTTATCCAGCTGGACCCTTCTGAGGGTTTGGCCGGAAGTATGCTCGGTAATTACTGTAGGACCCTATATCCAAAGGCGGTCTAGGTAGAGCCAATTGAGCCTCAGAGCTCATTTTTGTCAAGGATGCGAAAGCCCTCAAGGCCATCTTTGTACAAAAGCCAAAAACCTCAACACAAGCCCTAAACCCCAAGACTCCAAACTCAAATTCCATGAGCTCAAGAAAACCTAAAGCCCGAATAAACGCTAAAGTCCATGCGCCCAAACCAAGAATGCTAAACCCGGGAGACTCGGTAAATATAAACCCCCGTCGCTTTCAACCGGAGACACCGAAGAAGAAGAACTTGGAAGTTCATGGGTATTTATAAGTGGAGTCATAAGTAGGGTAACTATACTTATAACTCATACATTAGGGGACTTATAACCCTACTTATAACTACCCATGAACCTCCAAGAAGCCAGGGATGTCGCGGCGGAGGCGACTCCGGCAGTGCCCGCGGCTCGGGGGGTTTAGGCTTGCTTGTGCTGGTGTTTTCTCTAGGGAGTCCCTTGTTTTTGCTTCTTTGGTAACGGGTCTATAAGGGGTTTAAAATTTGAGGTTGAAGGTGTTAAACGTCTGTGGGTGTAGGGTTCAGGGCATTGGTAGGTTCAGGACATTGGGGAGGTTCCTTCCTAGTCTACACAGCCCATACATTACAGACTAGCATCTACACCCTGAAACCCTAAGCCCTGAACCCTAGTCGAAAAGCCTTTTGCCACATACACCCTAAACCCCATACACGCCAACTGGTGCTGAAGCCACGACTACATGGGCTTCGCCAGTCTTCGCCTTCAGATAGCTTTCAGGCTGTTTAGGGCACGGTCGAGGGCCTATAGGCTTATCGGGTTCAGGGCTTATAGGGTTTGGGGTAAAGGGTTTAGGGTTAAGGGTTTAGGGTAAAGGGTTCAGGGTTAAAGGTTTAGGGTTAAGGCTGCTGAGGGTTTAGGGTACAGCTTGAAGGCTCGGAAGCCTAAAATCCCCAAATCCTTACCAACCCTGGGCCTCAATGGTTCTCCCTGCCCAAATCACCCAGAGACTCCAATATCCCTTCTTGATTCAGGAATATTCCTTAAATCGTATTTGGGATCCTACTACAATTTACGGTAAATATTTCTTAAATCATATTTGGGATGCTCTTATAACTTAAGGTAAATTTCCTAACTAAGGGCTATTGGAGTCCCTGGGTACCCCTTTCTGCGCGCAAGGACCACGCCAGAGCCGGCTGGAGGAGCATTGGCCTTAGAGACACTGGTGATTTAGTTGATGGTTTTTTGTTAGGAAGTCTAGGCCTCCCAGTGGGCCCTTTTTCCCTTTTCGTAGTCCTAGGTTCCTTATAACGTTACCCAACCAAAACGGGAGCCATTTTTTCCTAGGTTACTGGGCATCCCAGAAATAATTAAGGCTTAGAAGGCTGAAGGGCCTTGTATAATTAAGACTGAAGGACCTTGAGTTCTTGAGGTCTAGTAGCAGGCTTTCCCGCTTCATCTTATCCTTGTCAGGGTGTAGTTGTAGGGTTCAGGCATTCAGTTAACGATAAGCCAGCACCAGGCAGGTCCGAAAGCTGCGCCTTCTGTATACAGCTAGTAGCAGTAGCAGGGCTCACAGCATACCTTGGGGCGATGGGCCCGAAATAGAATACAGGTCTGCATCAGGTCTCTGAACCCCTAGTCCGGTCATTCACGCAGCTAGGCCCAGAGTAGATCATACTGCATCTGCGGAGTCTAAACGGCTTTGGCTGTAGCTCGGATGCCCAGTAGTACCCTTATTCCCTTTTTGTAGTCCTAGGTCCTAGGTTCCTTACAAAGTGACCCAAGGGAGACCTTTTTGTTTGTAGGTACTGGGCATCCTAGTGTAGGTACTTCTTCCAGACGTGGAGTCGACGGGCACAGGTGGAGGTCAGAGAGGTGCCTCTTCGGTGTCTACCAAGACCACTTGGAGGTTCATGAAGGGCCCCTTTAAAGGGATCTATAGGGATTCTATAAGGGTATAGGGTTTAGGGTTCATGGGTAGTTATAAGTGGGCTTATAAGTAGGGTAATTATACTTATAACTCCTATTAGGGGACTCATAACCCCACTTATAACTACCCATGAACCTCCAAGTAAGGAAGAGTACCAGAAGGAGATTTTCCTCGAGATTGATGCCCTGAAGATCCGCCTTGAAGCAGTCGGCATCTCCGCCTACCTCATCGAGCAGACCTTCAAGAAACTCTAGGATGAAGCCTCACACCCCAAAGCCCTAAACCCTAAGACCCTAAAGCCCTTAAAAGCTCTGTTTCCCATCCTAAGCCCTTACATCTATGCATTTTTTTGCTCGCCCGCATCCAATCGGGTTCTATCAGACCCTAAGCCCCTAAACCCTAGACCCCCTAATCCACTAAACACCTCAAACCTAAACCCTAAACCCTAAAAACCCCTAAACCCTAAACACCAAAACCCCAAACCCCTTAACACCTCAACCCAAAACCTCCAAAGAAGCCCTTACAGCCCTGAAGCCCCGCAGGTCAAGAGGCCCATGGAGCAGGCTGAGGAGCCGAACAAGAGGCAGGGGTTAGAAGTGGCAGGGTTTAGGGTTTAAGGTTAGGGTTTGGGCTTTAGGGTTTGGGGGTTTAGGGGTTTAGGGTTTGGGGTTTAGGGTGGTGGTATAGTAGGAATATAATAGCGCCCTAGTCTAATCCTTATAGTCACGAGCCGAACAAGAGGCAGGGGTGAAGAGTCGAATTGACACTTGCGGGCTTTGGAGTTTAGGGCTTTGGGGTATAGGGTTTGGGGGTTTAGGGTTTAGGGATTCGGTTTAGGGATGGTAGGGTAAAGAGTCGGAGAGACACTTGAGGGCTTAATTGGGGGTTAGGATACAGAGCTTGCGGGTTAGTTCTTTTCGTGTTTGATGGGTTTAGGGTTTAGTAAGTTGTTTTGCTTGTTTGTTTAGGTGGTTTGGGGTTAGGGCTGTCAGAGACAACTCTAGAATAGCGATTCTGTAGTATTTCACAGGTTTCCGATGTTTGCAGTCTGGTGTTTAGGGATGTTTACATGCATAGTGGAGTTGCCGGCTTCTTTCTTTGAGGGTCTGCTTAGAGGTTCATGGGAAGCTATAAGTTGGGTTTTAAGTAGGGTAACTATACTTATAGCTCATATTAGGGGGCTTATAACCCTACTTAGAACTACCCATGGACCTCCAATTGGGACTCAAGGGTTTAAGGTTTCTTTTTTAGGGTTATAGGGTTTAAGCTTTAGGACTGGAGAGTTGAGGACTCATGTGGACAGTCGTACGAAGGAGTACAGGGATTTTGTTTTTGGATGCTTCAAGGTGGCCTTCAGAAGATGAACTTGTGCGGATTGTCCTGAAGGTTTTTGCGGTTCAGCGGTTATAGTTGACGGTTCAGGGTTCAGTCTTGCTGCTTCTTGCTGCAGCGCGCGCAAACACGGACCCCAAGAAACGATCGTAACTTAGCAGCTTAGCATAACTCCGACTATTGTCCAGGCAAAACACGGGGCCGGTGACATCCAAGGCAACGTGGGCTTTGCTGTTTGGAAGGGGTCCGATGGTCTCAGGCTGGTCAGAGTTTTGGGAATGAAGCTTCTGTATGACTCGTGGGTTTACAGTTTGGGGTTTATGGCTTTTGGGTTTGAGGTTTACGGTTTAAGCGTTTGAGAGCTTAGGGCTTGGAGTTTACGGGTTCAGGGATTTTAGGCTCTAGGACTCTAGGGCCCGTTGAGATTGCTTGTCATTTTCAGACGGTCCACGTCTTCTCCGATTTGGTACAGGTTTGGAATTTAAGCTTAAGTTGCAGGTCTGAACAATGTCACATTAGCAATGGCCCCTTGGCACCCAGAAGCAACGCTGGCAGCTGCCTACATGGCGGACTAGATTTCCTTAAACCCCATAAGATCATCAACCTTTAAACCCCATAAGTCCTAAACCCATAACCCAGTGACACAATACATAGGCAATCGGCCTGTCAGGGTAAGTTCGGGACTCATATGTCAACCCGCAAGCCTTAATCCTGTAATTTCCAAATCGTATATACACACACATCTTACAACTTAAACCCCTACACCCTAATCCCCATGGGTTTATACAAGTCTATACATGCGTTCCGGAACCCTAAACCTTAAAGCCTATGCCTTCTAACCCTACCCGATCCCTGAGCCCTATCCTGAGCCATGCACCAAAACCCGCATATGGCTTAGACCGAGATCTACGAATCCACCCTTCAAAGGCTAGAAATCCACGGCTCATTTCAGTTTGGGGCTTCAGGGTTTGGCCTCAACTCAGGAGAGGGTGTATAGTTTCAAGGTTAGGGTTTGGGCTCCATTCGGTTTGTTATTTGGGGCACAAGCCTAGCGTTCGCGCTTAATTCAGACTTGTATCGGGGCTTCGGTGATCAGGATTAAGGAGTTTAGACAAAGTTTAGACACCATGACCTATAGAATCCTACACCCTGACACGATGAATCGTAAGTCAAAATCTCAGCGCGAAAACACCCTATACATCCCTGTGCAGCCCTGTAAGGCTTCCAAAATCTCCGCTTTAACTTGCGGGTCATACTAGGGTTTAGGGTAGTCATCCCCTAGGGGTTATAGGGTTTTGGGGTTTAGAGTTCTAGGTAGGAGTTGCAGTTTGCACGTCCTTCGTCTAGGCCTCGTCGAAGGCCGCTGCCAAGGTCCCTGTCTGTGACCATTTAAAAGGCTTTAGTGTTTAGGGTCTTGAGCTCAGGGTATAGCGTGTAGGGTTTAAGGCTTGGGGGCTTTGACTAAAGTTTTTACAGGGGTAAATGTATCTCACTGGTGGTTTAACCTAGTGTTTGTTTATGTGTTTGGGCAAGCACGTCGACATGCCTCCGATTAGATTAGTAAGGGTTGGGACCGTGTGGGTGGCACTGATTTAGGCTTCACTGCTTAGGTTGTTACTTACTTTTCTGATGTAGAACCCCTTTTCTTAGGCGCACTTAGAAATAATGGTTCAATCTTTGGTTCCTCTAACCCCTAATAGTTTTTGCTAGGGGTCTAAGTTCAGTAGAGTAGAACCCTTAAAAAGCATTTCGACAATCCGTCCAAAAACCCTAAGAAAATGCTGATAACACGACACCTTCGGTCTGGGAGGAGGGAGGATCGCCTCAGCCCCCACAGCAACAGATATCCCAGCGCCTACTCCGAGGATCCATGTAGCCAACTAGTGTATAGTTTGGCCTTAACGTACTCTCTATATAGCTACATTGGGCCCAAAGTATATACTATTTGGGCACATGGACCCTTAAAGCGAACTCCAGAAAGTTGGAAAATGGTTTCAGGGTAGGATACCTTGTAATTTACCATAAAGGGTTTAGGATAATCCTATTCCAACTTTCTGGCTTTTACTTTATGGCTACAGAGTGTAAAGCCGTCTCCTGGGTTTCGTTAAGATTTATGCGCATCAGCTGGCAACAGAAGAGGATTCTCGCAATGCCAAGATCTGCAAGCAGTAGCAAAGCTAGGAGGAAGAGCAGCCAAGAGATACAAACAGCAGAAGATAACAAAGGACTTGGCTTACAAAAGCGCTAGGCAATCAGCTCTATGCTCCCCGGCCTGGACGCCCTAAACCCTATCAGTTCCAGACGCTGAATCCTGAAACCCTTGGCCCTACTCCCCAAACCTAAACCGTCCGTTTTTTGAAGAGGTCGTGCCGAAGCCCTGAGTGCGCCTTCCTTTGCAGACGATTGGCCCTTGAATCCTTGAGTTCCCCAAAGGATCCTAAGTGAAGGGCTTGGAGGTTTACGGTTTAAGGTTTAGGGTTGAAGGCTTAGGGTTCAGGTTTAAGTAGGCAGAGCGTTTTCGGTTGACGAGTTGCAGTTGAGCTCGATTTAGGTGTCTTTGCTTGTGAACTTCGTTGTGAGGTTCGGGGTTTGGATGCTTACTGTTGCTCCTATGTGCGTTGGCATACTGCAAATGCTTGTTATGCTACAGTTGAGACTACGTAGTCACCTGTTCTCGGCTTCTTGATAAGCTAGATTCCCTTGCACCCGTAGCATTGGAGGGAAGGCAGAGCCTTGCCACCCTCCGACACAAGAAGCGACGCTGAATGTGTGATCGTACCTCTGAAGTTTTTGTTGCTATCGGGTCTAGGGCTTATGTAGTTCAACAGGGCTTTAGACATCCGGCTTCATGCCTTCGGTGTAAGGGCGACCACCGTTGAGTGAGAAGCATTGAGTCACAGCAAAGGACATGGGAACTCAAGGTGTAGCGTACCTAAGCGCTACCAGGCTCATGACTGGCAAGGCATGCATCCTTGCGGAGATCGTATAGCCGGATTCTGTGGGGTGTTATAACGGTTTCATAGTGGGCGTTATCGCTAATTACTTGCGGCCTTAAATCCGGCGGCGAGGGTGGACTGAGAGGAGATGTGCCAAAGGTGTGGCAAGGCTGGGTTCGAGACAGGTTCGGGGTCACGGATATACGGCCCCATCTGACAGGGAATGACGGAGGATTTCAATTCCAGACGCTTGTAGTGCCAAGCGGGCAGACGAAACGTCCGCTACCTTAGGTAACAAATTGCCCAAATCCCATGCTTAAATTGGAGAATGAACCCCTAATTCAACCCTGAAGTCGGTGCCGTTTTTCTGCTGGGAGCTTGTCACGCACCGACCACCTATGCGCGGCTACAAGAGGCAGTGGAGGTCTTTGGTTCTTATGGTTTTAGGGCTTAGGCCTTAGAATCTCTTACCGGGGATTGCGTAGGAGCTGTTTTTTGTGTGACGAAAAGTGTAGTTTCAACTCAAAGGGGAAATTTTGAACGCGTTGCATGAGGAGCGGATGGCTTGCCGTAGATTAGGATTTTGGGCTATAGTCTACTCTAACTATGTACAGGAACCCAGTAAGTTCTTGCTTCCCGTGCTTCCCCAGCGGATCCAAACCCAGCTGTGCTAACGGCTAGACCCTATACTTAAGGGGTTGCAACCTACCCTGAAGGGTCCATGTGCCAAAATATTATACTCCTTGGCCTTAACGCAGTCCCTATATAGGTAATTACTTTGGGCCCGAAGTATATTATACTTTTTGGATACATGCGCCCTTAGAGTACTATGTTTGTAGGACTTGGGGCTACAGGCTGAGCATGACAGGACAGCCCAGCCTGACCCCAGCAACTGTTTAGAGTTTAGGTGTTTCGGGGTAGGGTTTAGGGTTCCGGGTACTTCGCCAGTGTGCCCCTTGTTGCTCATCCGACGTGTGCCGAACCCCACATCAGCCTTCCCGCAGGGAGCCTGTCGAGCTCTCAAGTTCCCAGCCTACGGCTTGGTTCTGCTTGCTTGAACCGGCTCGGCCACAACCAAGACGGAAAGCCGGAGCAATTACCATGAATGGTGTCCTGTAGCACACTGTGGACAATACATCAAACCATATTGTACGGCCGTGGCAGCACACCATTCAGGTTGCCATAGAACGCTCTTGGTATGTAGCCTCGACGTTTGCAATCCGTATCCCGTTCTTGCGGGCACATAGATAGTCAGCACTTGTGCTGACGGTGGCCTCCTGTTCAAAGCCATGACACGACGCCCAGCGATGTTTGGTGAACGACGGAGCAGGCATGGTGAGGGCAAGGGCTTGCAGGTTTTGGGTGTTAGACTTTTTGGACCTTTGTGGATTTTTTGCATTTACTGTCTTTACAAGAGCTGTGGGAACTGTTGAACAACGGCCAGGAGCTGTAGGGTTTTTGCAGTCTGGGTGTGGGTAGGGTTTCACAGACTGTCACAGGGCTCAGAGATGTTTTCAGAGTGTGCTTCTAGCTATCGATCCAGAGATTCTCTGGCGTAAATTCTGTGGTGCAAAGCTTGGCTCTAGGGGTGACTTATAAGTGTAGTAGGTCCTCAGTAGGTTCGTATCCTTATCACAACCATAACATAGTCATCCACCCTAAGCTCTCAAATCCGTTTATTCTAGGGTTTGTCGGCTTTGTGCAGTTGGGTTTTACTCGCTGGCTTGGGTGTAGGGTTTGGGCTTCATAGAGATCGGGCTTTAGTCATCTCGACTGGGAATGGATCCCTTATAGTAGCCCCTATAGAATCCCCAACAGTAGTCCGTCCCTACTAAGAGCCAGACAGTAGAGAGTAGATGACGGTCACTTGGAGGTTCATGGGCAGTTATAAGTAGGGGTATAAGTCTCGTAATAGGAGTTATAAGTATAGTTACCCTACTTATAACCCCACTTATACCTACCCATGAACCCTAAACCCTATACCCTTATAGAGTCCCTATAGATCCCTTTAAAGGGGCCCTTAAAGGAACCCTTTTTATAACTACCCATGAGCCTCGAAGCAAGCCCGGGATGATCGAATCCTTCGCTCCCAGGCTTCTGATACCAAAGCGGCCGTACGAAGAACATGTGGGTGGTTTAGGGTTTAGGGGTTTAGGGGTTTAGGGGTTTAGGGGTTTAGGGGTTTAGGGGTTTAGGGTTTAGGGGTTTAGGGGTTTAGGGGTTTAGGGGTTTGGGGGGGTTTAGGGTTTAGGGTTTAGGGGTTTAGGGTTTAGGGGTTTAGGGTTTAGGGGTTTAGGGGTTTAGGGGTTTAGGGTTTAGGGGTTTAGGGGTTTAGGGTTTAGGCTAGGGGTTTAGGGTTTAGGGGTTTAGGGGTTTAGGGTTTAGGGGTTTAGGGTTTAGGGGTTTAGGGGTTTAGGGTTTAGGTACGGTTGATGATGTGGGTGGTTGTCAAAGTGATATGGTCCCTAATATAGAACCTTGAATAGTAGCATCCTTATCCTAAGGACCCCCAAACAAGGTACCCCTAATTTCGAAAACTCCCATATGGGTAGTTGTCAAAATTACGGTCCCTTTTTGGGTCCTTAATATAATACGGCACCTAATATTTAGGGTACCCAAAAAGGGACCTTAATTTTGATAACCACCCATGTCTGATGTCAATGGCTTAGGGTTTAGGGTTTAGGGTTATGTCAATCCACAGGGGAGTCACTATAGCAAACCGCAATGAAAAGAAGTTCTGCAAGGCGATATTCTACATTCTACTCATCAGCCGTAAGAAGAAGAACAGCCAAGAAGAAGTCCAACGAATAGAGGCCCCTTCCGGAGCACAGCTGGTGTTTCCAAGCTCCGCGGGTCCAGGATCAGATCTAGTGAATCTAGCGAGGTAGCATCCCCGCATCACGCAAGCCTGAAGACTCTGGACATACGACTGCGAAACACAGGTACCAGCATGATGGGGCTTCGCCAGAATCTTAAACCATTGGTGCATTTATTGGCAACGGGGCGTCAAAGAGCAACAGCGGGCAACAGAAAAAGGCCGGACAATAAACCCTAAACCCTATAAGCCCCAAGCCCCAAACCCTAAACCCCTAAACCCTAAACCCCTAAACCCTAAACCCCTAATCCCTAAACCCCAAACCCTGAACCCAAACCGTCCTAGCAAGGCGGCCGCTGTGTTTCGCTGCCTTCATCGCTGTCGTCGGAGTCCTGGGAGAAGTGCGCGCGTAGTGGGATGTGTCGCTTTCACGGGGTGGTTAGGGTTGAAGTGTTTAAGGTTATGTGTTTTTACTCAACAAAGCCTAACAAAGCCTAGAGGGGAGAGGGTTTGGATGTGGGTGTCGCTTCGGATTTCGGTTCGATGTTGTTAAGTTTTCGGACAACGGGCTCGGTCTTGAGGCCCTCTTGGGCTTCAGTTGTTTGCGATTCAGGAATTGAGCTTCTGAGGTTCTAAGGTCAACAAGATGTGCCGCATAGTTATGGGCTCAAGGCTAGCTACTATATTTGTTGAGACTTTGTGTTTGGGGTTCAATTTTTTGGAGAATTTGATCTGGGTTCCAGAACCCTCAACCCAAAATCCTCAAGCGAGTTTCAGTTGTTGAGGCAATTTGAGGTGCACTAATGAGGTTATAATCTCGATTGCAAGCCGTTGGATTTGGAGTTCTGTCGTCTGTATATCCCCAGTGACACGAAACGATGAAACCTTCATCCCTAAGCCGAAAACCCAAACCTCTGTCGCTCTATCTATTTCTCTCTCCCTCTGTACCTCTCTACCCTTCTATCTCTCTCTCTCTCTCTATATATATATATTTACATATACATGTACGTGTATCTATCTATCTCTCTCTATCTACCCTTCTCTCTCTCTCTCTCTCTCTCTCTCTCTCTCTCTCTCTCTCTCTCTCTCCCTAACTCACTCCCACACTCTTTTCGGAACATCTTGAAGCTTCCGGCAGAAAAGCATAGTCAGCTCGGCAGTTTGGCTTTGGTTGTAGTCTTCTACGATGTTGAACAGCAAGACGGCACACCGAAGTGCACGGTAGCGCTGTTACTGCAGTAAATCCTAAATCAACCCTAAACCCCTGCACCTCAAGCCCCAGCAGTGGGGGGAGGAGGAGGTGGAGGAGAAGGAGGCTGAGGAGGTCGAGAAGGAGTAGGGATTCGCTTCACACCCTAAACTTTGCCCGAAAACCGCAAACCCTAAACCAAGAGCCCTAAACCGTAAACCCTAAACCAAGAACCCTAAACCAAAAACCCTAAACCAAAAACCCTAAACCTTAAACCCTCAACCACAAACCCTAGACCCTAAACCTTAAACCCTAAACCCCAGCCTTAAACCGTCTAGAAGAGGAGGAGTAGCCCCGAGGAGCAGGGATTTCGCATCTCGTAACCTTGGCTCTTCCAGGAAAAAAATCGAGCCACAAGGCCCTCAGACAAAATCTGCCAGCCCAAAGGGTCCTAACGGCTGATGATATAAATCCTAGGGTTCCTTTAAAGGGATCTATACGGGTGCCTTTAAGGAGCTCCTTTAAGGGATCTATAGAGTTTTAGGGTTTAGGGTTGATGATATGGGAGTTTCCGAAAATTGGGGGGGTACCTCATTTTGGGATCCTTATAATAGGGATCCTACGATTTACGGTGCTATATCAGGGTCCCCCATTTTCGGAAACTCCCATATAAATTCTGCATTACCCATAATAAGGAATATACCACAATTCCATAGTTTAGGGTTCTTAAGGTAAATAACAAGGAATATACCATAATTCCCATAGTTTAGGGTTCTTAAGGTAATGCAGGATTTACATCATCAACAGAAGTACCTGTACAGTATAATGCAGGGTTTAGGGGTTAGGGGTCCTGAGTACCTATAGCGTGGGATGTAGGCTTTAGAGTTTCGGGGCCCTGAGTACCTATTATAGACTGTAGAAAGTATGGCTTCTCTGAATTACAGTAGGAAGAACTCTGTTGGGTTGGGAAAGATGTGTGCCTTTGCATATACATGCTGATGCTTGGCCCTCCACCCTAAACCGTCAAGCCCAAGCAACTAAAGAACGCTGAGGCGACCGTTCTGGGCCGCTCCGTCTTCGAGGCAAGCGTGTTTGGAGTCCGGGCTTCAGGGTTTAGGGCCTAGGGGTTTAGGGGTTTAGGGTTCAGGGTTGGGGGGGCATGCTCGAGTTGAGGGCGCATGGTTGTACTTGACGCGTTACGTTATTCTCCTGTTGGAGATTCTCTAATTCCTGGAAGTAGTAACTAAGTAGTACTAAGTAGTACAGGTTTAAGCCATGAGGGTCCCTTTTTGGACCAGCGTGTTCTCGGGGAGGTGGAGTCTGCTTTGGGCCCATGGTAGAACTTCAGGTCGGAGGATTTGTCACTTGGCACTGATTCGTAAAACCCTGAACCCCTAAACGCTAAACCCTAACGTTGCTGAAGGATGGATGGCCGTAGATTTCTATTCTCACGTCCATCCGAAGAACACTCAACAATCAAGCCCTACCCTAAACAACCCTAAACCCTAAACAACCCTAAACCCTGAACAACCCCAAACCCTAAACAACCCTAAACTCTAAACAACCCTAAACCCTAAACAACCCTAAACCCTAAACAACCCTAAACCGTAAACACGTCTTGCTGAGTCCCAGGCAGCTTTCTCCCAGCCGAACCCGGAGCATCAGAGCCAGGCTGGTTCCGGGGAGGGTGGTACCCAGAGATCCCAATACCCCTCATAATATTTGGGCCTCTATAAGTTAAGGTACCGAAATTCTCATCCTAATTACAAAGGCCCTGATCGTATGTTTGAAGATTTCAACAACTTCCCAAACTGTCGGGGTCATCTGCAGAGTTTAGTTTTCTCACCTGCATTCAGTAGCCCCGACTCTTCTCTTAGGGGCACTTAGAAGTATGGTTTAATCTTTGGTTCCTTTAATCCCTAAGAAACAGCTAAAGTTATAATTTTTGCTTGGGGTCTAACGTCAGCAGAGTTCTCATCACGGCAGTTTGAGCACGGTTGCAATTGGCCCTAAACCCTAAGCCCTAAGAGTGGATGAAGAGTCACTGCAAAAAAAGAGCACGAAGACTGAGCGGACTGCGGCGAGTGGGGTGGTTGCCAGACGCCAAGGCTGCAAAGATGATCTTGACAAGCTCAGTTGGCAGAGTGTCAGATGTCTGACTTTGGTAGAGCTGGTGGTCAACATAAAACCTATGAATCCCTAAGCATTAAAAACCTACACCCCTCAACCCGAAACCCTTAATTAAACCCAATCTTCAAACATAAAGCCAGTACACTATGCAATCTCCACCCGGAAGTCTATCCCCGAGCCCTGATATCATGATCCCAACCGACGAGGAAGCCTAGTCACAGCTCCAGAGCTTCACAAAATTTACATCCAGAGGTGTAAACACAAGCACAACAGCAGCTACTCACTGCTACTGCTACAACCGCAGCTGCTCCTCCTCCTCCTCCTGCTGCTGCTGCTGCTTCTGCTGCTGTTGCTATACTACCACTACTAGGATATTCCAGTCTGAGCACTTTGACGCTGAGCCTTAGCACCGACGGAGCACGATGCAACCAAGCCCAAGCCTTCCACAATTACTGAACCGTAAGCTAAACCCTATACTCTAACCCTAAACCCTAAACCCTAGACCCGAAACCCTAAACCCGAAGCCCGAAACCCTAACCATAAGCTCTAAGCTCTGAAGCCTGAAGCTTTAAAAAAGCTTTCAGATGGCAGGAGTTGAGTCGACGTAGCCTCGCAGGAGTCGGCGCTCCTTTCCTTGAACTATCGAGTTTCGGTATGGGGTGCTATATACATGGTTTCAAGGTTTCGGGTTTGGGGTATAGGGGTGTCGGGTTCAGGGTTTAGAGTTTAGGGATAGGGTTTAGGGGTTAGGACCTAGGGTTTACCCTAACTTCTAGATGTTCGCAGTTTTGGCGTTGATGGGCCTCAGGTTGACCGGGCTTTGTGGACAAGAGTTCGGCGTCTCCGCGAGAAGGGCTTTCGGATTTAAACTCAAGGTGACGTGTATACTTTCTGCGCATGCACAGGCAGCCAGGAGTTCTTTATGTTCGTGTGGGTATATAGTTAGAATCTACTTTTTCTCGTTCGCTTGCTTTTCTTGCCGGGACATTACAATTTGCTGTACTGTAGCCGAAGCACTTGGCCCCGTGGGTTCAGGGTCGGTGTGGGAGTCTACATGCGAGGTGGAACAGTCCTTTGCAAGCCGGCGGTGGAGATGCTCCGCTCCCTCCTGAAGGTACTTGTCGATGCCCCTGACATCGCCCTCGCAGTCCCCCTGGCACTTATACTTCTGCCGAGCTGCAACTCCATGGCATACATCAGGAGCAGCGGACGATGCACCGGCTGAGTCCACGGCCTCTGCGGCAGGAACGCACGTCGTGCACCCCGTGGCGATGGTGTGGTTTCGTACAAAAGAGCCTTAGAGCTGGGACACCAACGTCAACATTTTGATGTATTGCCAGCTGATTGTGACATGCAGGAGCCACTTCAAACTCGTTGTCCGGTCTAGGTGGATGACAGACCGTTACGATAACCTCGTTTTGTCTTAAACCCTACGGGTCCATGTACCTATATAATTAGTATCTACACGGGCCTTAAAGCAGTCCCCATATATGGATCCCCGAAGTAGCCTCTAATATACCCCAAATGCCCACTACTAAGGACCATAAGGGCTCTAATAACTGGTACTTGGGAGGTGCTGGTATACCTGGAGGCTCATACCCTGCCCCTATTTTAGGGCGCCTACTTTTTAAGATTACAGATCCTAACCATAAAACTAGGTATCCTAAAAAAGGGGTAGGGTATGAGCCTCTAGGTAGTATCCTAGGCCTTACAAGCCGACTCTCAGGTGGCGGTATCGACCGGTTCTTTGCTGCCTTTACCAGCCCAGGTCCTGCTTGACACAGCGTCCAGGGTTTAGGGTTTGTTGTTTAATCATAGGGTTTAGTAATTTAGGGTTTGGGGGTTTAGGGTTGAGGGTTTGGGGGTTTATTGTTTGGGGTTTAGGGTTTAGGGTGCCTTGCTTGGAGGTTCATGGGTAGTTATAAGTGGGTATAAAGTCGGGTAGCTATACGTAGAACTCATATTAGGGGACTTATAACCCTACTTATAGCTGCCCATGAACCTCCAAGTACTGTCTGTGTTCGTTCTATAGTACTGCATTCACATAGAATACCCTCCAAAACCTTACTCTACTTGTGATAAATAGCTCTGTTTTGAACCACACCCAATCCGTACTCTGTTTTTTTACCCGGAGTAAGGGTCAAAATAGCCGAAAAGCCTTAACACATGAACCCTCAGAGCCTACGGGTAAGGCCCTGATACTAAGCCGCCCATCTAAACCCTTTATAGAACCCTTATTATGGATCCTTTTAAGGAACCCTTACAGATCCCTTTAAGTTACCCCTAAGTTTCGGAAACTTTCACTTTAAGAATTTTTGCGCGGCAGCTTCAACCCCGAACTTCTCTATCGAAGCGTTGAGCTGAGCTTGGGGTTTTGGATTTCAAGCTGAGGGTCTAAGTCTAGGTTTCAGGGGTTTCGGGTTAGTCTTAGGGGTTTAAAAGCAGCTTAGGTTCAGTGGTTTAGGTTTAGGATTTGGGCCTTTTTGTAGGACATTGTCCACAAATTTGTTCAGCCGAAAAGACGGAACTAGAAAGGATCCTGACACATAGCTGTTTACCTAAATCCTCTGCACGCCGTCAAGCAGCCCTGGCCTAGATGCTCCACACAAGGTAAGATGCTTTTTGTATTACTTGTGCGTCTTCGTCATAACTAGCTTGGGGATAAATTCAAGTCATAAACAAATCTATTAGCTATTCTGCTGCAGCACTAGGGCTCAGGCTTAACCTAAATCCGCCACCTCCCCATTCGAATCCTGAATCCGAGACGGCCTTGAAGCCTAATCCTGTAAGCCCTTTTGCCTGAGCCCTCAACAGACCCTGAACCCAGGATGATACATGTCTTGTAAGCTCCAGTCGACATCCCCATGCCCAAACATTGTCAATTAGGCTTTGGGCTCCAAGGTGGCCTGCAGTTTAGTTTTGGGTTCAGCGTTGAATCCTTTGTTATTGTTTTCGAAAATTGAGGCCAGTGTTTGGGGGCTCGAATTCCTCAGCGTTCCTAATAAGCTATTCTTCGTTAAATGCGGGTATGGTGCCAAGTTCTACTCCAATAATTTAAGGCCCCTATCTCAGGCTTCCACTGTGGGGCGTTTGTAACAGGCATGTCCGTGCGAAGCAAGCCGTTTTTGGAAGATATGCCATGCCCGTAGACGACAAACCTTGTCTGGTATGTACGCTGAACACTAAACCAACCTGTATAGGCTGTATGGGGACTATGACACAGCGATGCCGAGTAATCTAACCATGAAAGAGTAGTGGTTTGCCGCGGGTTTGATTCGTGGTGACATATCTTTCACACCAGGACGGTTATATCCTGGCTAAATCTCAAGACCCTTGAGCCATCCGCAGCGTCTTGGGACCAAGAAGCTTTTAGCCGTTCGGGCCACACATGTGTCAATGTTCAGCCTGCTTGGCAAGTGGTCTCAAACATGAAGAGAGGGTTCATGACGCGAATGTAGTACTGTTTACTGGCTCGAGGCTAAGCATCTAGCTTCCGACCTCTACCAGGCCTTCTTGGGTCAGTCCTTCCTTGATTCTTCCCAGATGTCCGATGGAACGAGAAACCCCAAGAGCTTGAATCTTAGAAGGTCTTGGTCTTGAACCTCAACTAGCCCTAGACTAGACAGTTCAGAGCACCCGCTTAAGTGGGCCCGCATGCCCAGCGTAGATGATGGTTAGCCACCTGCCCGCGCGGTCCGTGATTGTGCGGCGCTCTCAGAACTGTGTCGTCTACCGGCCTGAATCTCGATGAAATGCAATACCGCATTTAACCTGTACATGGCTACCCCCTCGTAAAGGGGGGGGTGTACCTACGGTGCGATCTATTTCTGGCACCATTTCGGGGAGAGTGGGGGGGGGATAGAAATAGATACCGGTGACATTAGATCGCACGTCCGGACGGCCTAGGTTATAGCGGAATGCAGGCAGCTGCTGCATCTGGCGAAAGTCCTCAGACCCCCCCCAACCCCCCCCTCCCAAACATCCAAACATCCAAATATTGAAATAGACCGTTTCGATGTTTCGATCCCCCCCACCTACCCCACTAAAAAGATCACTTTTATTCCTAGGTTACTGGGCATCCTAGACATGAGTCCTTGGAGCCTGCCGGGAAGTCTTGCTGAGCTGTGAAGCTCGAGACTGAAGCTCGCCAAGGTCCCCGCCCACAACGCTGACTCAGCCGGCCGGAGACCCGAAAGATAACCTCATCAATACTGCTGATGGACAAAATCCTGCATGACCTTAAGGACTCTAAACTATGGGAACCATGGTCTATTCCTTATAATGGACAATGCAGGATTTTGTCCATCAGCAGTATTGTAAGTTACTGTAACCAATATTAATGAGTATGCTTGTTCATACTCAACTATCCAGCATATTGTCATATCATCAATATAAAACTAGCACTGCTAGTGTAGTTGAACAACATAGGCTTGTGGGGGTCTCGCGCTTCAAACATACTACGACTGACCCCTCAGCAATATTATTGCTACTTGTTGAGGCTCCTATTTCTAACTTGCTTTCTATCAAACATGTATATAGTTATATATATATATGTATATATACAAATGTATATATGCATATGATTGCATATGTAAACATAAACAAATAGATTCCCCTCGGGTTGTCTTGGTCGACATCCAGAACCTTGCATGAAATCCTAAACCCTAGACCCACGAAGCTCAAAGTTGAAAAGCCATGCCCCAGAATTAGAGCCCCCCAGCATCCCTGCCCTGTGCCCGCAGCCCCAAACCCCCAGGAATTGAGCCCCCCCAAAAAAAATCCGCTGAAGCCCTAAAGCTCTTGAGCCGCCACGCCCTCGTAACAGCGATCCCCTTTGGAAGTCTCTGGGGGTGTGGGGCTTCTAGAGTTTAGGGGTTTACATGGGGTTACGCTTAGGGTTTGGGGTTTAGGGTTCCGGGGTTCAGAGAGGGATTTAGGGCGAAGATCGACTTTAGGGGTTTGAATTGGGGATCAGCAAAGGGGGTTTAGGGGGTTTGGGGTTTTAATTTCTTTGTGGTGCAGAACTAGCACCGAAGGATTCGAACACATGAGATTGGTTTTGACAGCTGAACCCCACAGCTAAACCGAGTTGCGATAAGCTTTTGAAATCTCCGATGGTCAAGCCGATCCACAACTAAATCCGATGACCCCTAAGCCAAGCGACACAGAGTCATCACACGCACTGCCTCAGGCCAACATGGGCCACAACTACTCGATGATCTTTGGCTGTCAAAGTTTAGGGTTTAGGTTTTGGAGTTTAGGGTTTAGAGTGTAGGGCTTTGCGGAAGTGCTTGACATTGGAAGTTCCCTCAAGGGTCCATGTGGCATATGCTGCGGCTCTAAAGTACATTCTATAGAAAACTTCAGCTTCGGAAGGATCTGGAGGGCAAACCTGGCACCACTTTCACAAGTGGAGGGCGTCGGTTGCCGCGTTTTCGGGTTATTCTGTTAAGGTTTGGATGAGGCCTGATAAGGCTTCAGGATGTAGGATCTACATGATGGTGTGGGCTTTGCCTGATTGAAGGGTGGTCTTCCGGGTTAGAACAAGATAACATTCTGATAAGTTGATAATGTTATGTTTGAGGTTCCTCAATACAGCTATAACCTAAATATTGGTACTCTCCAAACCCTATTCTGCATCTATATTGCGCTGACATATGCGTCGTGTCGTTATGCAACGCTGTGCCAAGGTCTCAGCTCGTGTTGTAATTATGTCGGCCGTCTGTCACCAAGGTAACAGGAAGGATGGGAAGGGCTGAGATGCTATCAGCAGCACACTGCTTAGGGGCAGCGGTGGAGTTTCTGGTATTAAAGGTATTCCATCAAGAGAAGCTTAATTTGGCTGGTCCCCATTTCCAACGGAGGCTGACGCCGCATACAGCACACTCTTTACGGTGTCTATTGGGTATTGTCGCACTGTCGGATTTTGGGGGCTGTAGATGCTGGCTTAATGCCTTTCAACCCTCCGGCCGTGAAGTCTTAAGACTTAAACCCGACTCTAGAGGTCTGAATGGTTGAAAATTCAACCCGAATATAAGGGGTCCAGAGTCTGACTCACTCAATTCCAGCTCGAACTGATACCCATGTTTAGTCCTTAGACCGTTCGACCAAACATAATTAAGATATTCCCCAAACGCAGGCCTTGTCCGAACCAGTATCTTACCCCTAAGCCTGAAATCCAAAACCTTAAAACATTCCCGAAGTCGTGAACCGTATGCGCCATATAGGGAAACACCTAAAATCCTACCCCACCCTTCATCTTGTGAACATCAGGATGGGCACTGGGCCCTTGGTACCCACCTACTTCACCTCGGAGGCGGGATATTTTAGCCCTTGGGAACTCAAGAGCTTTCTTATAGTAGAGGCCTAAAAGTTTGAAACCCAATAGCCTCAATCCTTAAGAGTCAAAAACAGGGAATCCCAGCACTAACAACTGGCCTTGATACGATTTCCGACTTTTTGAGGCTTTCCGCAGAGGATGCCCCTAAGCCGTCCACCGGTGAAGGGTTTAGGGTTCCACGCGAATCAAAGGAGCATCAGGACCTAGCAAGCCTTGTTGCTCATTGATACCACTTTTCTCATCATCGTAAGCTATACCTCAACTTAAGAATCTCGTTTTGATGCCTAAAGGTAGGTTAGGGATAATGGGTTTGTGGATATCGGGGTTTCCGCTTGGGAATACGAGTTAAGAAACCCAAGCCCAAGATCGCAGATTTCCTGGCTTGCTCCCAAAGCTACAGCGCAGACTAGCTGCTTCAGATTGGCAGG